CGATAGTGGCCGGAGGAGAAGCAATGCGGTGTTTCCGAATTGCAGACAAAGTGACAAAAACCATGTGAGTTGCGGACGAAATCTAAAAAGGTAACATACGAATTGCGGACACAAATATAAGATACTAATTGCGGATAATGTTACAATATTCACGTGGTGAAATCAGTAGAATATCATATATACAGACTGTTTTAAAAACTATGACAATAATTAATAATGACGATAATCTATAAATATTTTATAAACAATTTTTTCCACAAAATTAAAACAATCTATAATTCAACAACATTTTAAAAATAACGATTGCTTTTTGCAAGACACAAATATTTTTAACCCCAACTACCAATTTTTTTTTAGCTATTGTCATAAGTCCTGAAAAAGTGGCGAAGGGAAATATTTGTGTCCACAACTAAAGTAGTTTTTATTAAAAAAAGCTCTGTACGCAATTAGTATTATGACAACGAAACTCGTGTCCGCAATTGTTATATTATAATTCCTAACCTGAATAATTCGTCCGCAACTAGTATGTGTCCAAGCAATGCCACAGCAGTTCCGACTCCGGCTCTAGATACCACGTAAAAAAAAAAGTTATATAAAATACATTTTTTATATATGTATATATTATAGATACCTATTTAATATTGTTCTTGATAATCAAGACACTTATAATGATGATAGCTTAGGCAAAATGATTAATTAATTTTCGATTCATTTAGTTTTTAACAAATAACGAAAATCTGATTGATTACAACTTTGATAAAGCACACCAAAATCGGTTTATCAAAATTATGACAATATATTATAATACGCGTAGGCGTATACTTGATAGCTTTCTATTCTAGTTGAGAACGGTTTTATATTATTTTAACCCTGATTTATTGATAATTTTGCACGCATGGTTTAATCAAAAATAAATAGTTCAACATTTGGTTTAGTGTACCTATAATAAGTTTTAAAAATATTTACCTTGGTTTGACACATACAAGTTAAATATACAATTAATATTAAATAATATTTTATTATAAAATGCCAAAAATAATTCTAATACAGAATGAATCACCAAGCATGCCATAGGTACCTTTCTTCAATAATGCAGTTATTCAAAAAATGATTTTCAAATATACTTGTAGATTATTTTTTTCAAATGTTGACATGATTTGTTCTATTTAAAGAGTGTCCAGTGGAGAAACAAACTTCTGTTTTTGAAAATACAAGAACCCCTTTTTTACTGTAAGTTATTAAGAGGATAACTTTTCGGAAAATGTTGACGTATCAAATTCAAAATTCGAACGAGAATATTTTGACCTATTTAACTTTGTATAGGTACTATGGATAATTTAGTCCATAATAACGGTTTTAGATGAAATTATGGTAGTAACGGTGATTTAAAAATATTAGTAATCAATATTAATTTATCAACATGACAATAACATCCATAATTCGTAAAAATAATCTGAGTTTAATTTATATTTAATTTTATATTTTTGTTAAATTATTTTCAAGGACTATTATTCTTATGGTGAACATTTTGATAGTTGAAAAAATTATCTTTCCAATTTTTAAAACAAAAAGTATCAAGAACTTCAAAGGTCTTTAAATATATTTGAAAATTCCAAAACTCAAAATAAATTCATTATTAATGGAAAAATATGGATTAATAAGATTAAATAATCCACTAGGGTGATTAAGTTATTTTTGAATATAAAATTATTGTCGAAAAACTTCGAATAAGTCCATACCGGTTACGGGCTTCAATACAACTTATATTTAAAACTTTGAATAATGTATCATGTATGCGTCTTACATAACATTATTTTTGATACCACATAATCTCCCTCTATTAGATTTATCAGTTACTTGGCACTTTGTAGATGTAATTTTTAATTTTCTCAATAGTTTTCATAAAAAAAAACATTATTTTTGACGGATATGTCAAAACGTTTTAAGATATTTAAGCAAGCGAGGTTTTGCCAATATTCGCGGAAAATCGTTTTCAATTTGTGAATTTTGCTTAAACATATTGAATATCAACAATACTTCACTCGTTGAAATATTTTTCTGATTTATTTTTCACGAATTATTTTTTTTATGTATTTTACATTCAAATCAAACCAAACTGACAAGATAATGGTGACAGTTCCGTAACTAGCATAATAATATAGATGGTAAAAAATAAATTTAAATCACGTACATATTATTATAATATAATAGTATAAATGTATAATGTATTATGTTTTTAATTTTTATTATTATTATTTATTTTTATTATCATATATTACTTTGTATTAACAAAACAATACAATTATTCTAAACCATTTGCGAATAGGCTACACTAGAGTACCAGACTGACCAATGAATACCTAGCTAATTATGCCTATAGGTGAGGCATTCGTGTGCGAGGTCTGTGGTATCAGGTTAAGAATATAAAACACATCCTAACCGAATGGAAAAGGTTCCATCAGAACCGAGTCAGCCCCGACATGTCCGAAAACCTTGACTCACCCCAGAGTCAAAACTGATTAATCGTCGAATTTTCAAAATCAAGTGATTTGTATTTTGTTTCTAGGTTCCAAGGATCCAATCTAAAAATACAATGCTTTGATCAAAGAAAAACTTTTTTTTATTTTATTAAGTGAATTTATTGTAATATATTATCAGCTAAAATCACACGATAATAACTAAAATAGAGCTAACAACAGCTAAAACAATATGGAACAATATGGTAACACAATGTGACTGATTATTGTACAGTGCTACCAAAAATATGTAAAAAAAAAAGATCAATAGAAAAAATATGTACCCTCGTCCTATTGTATTATAGCGACCGGTGGCGAGGGGTGGCTCGCGGAATTTCTATTTTCTAGTGGGACAACCTACCGACAACTTCAAATGGAGATGATCACCGTGAGCGGCCGTTAGTGTGACGTAGGTACAATACAAATTCGGGACGATGTACAATATATACATTGTGTGGTAGCCGGTAAGTACCTAGGTATAGGTACCTACTGATCGCCGTCGGTTTCCGCGCGATGCCGATACGTCGCCAAAAGCTACTTTCAGAAGACCGTAACAGATAAGCCTCACATCGCTATTGGATGACGAAAGCCCGAGAACGACGCTATCGGTGTTCCGGTTACCGTAGTTCACGGTCGCGGTATCGTCGCTGGAAATTTAAATTTCACGATATTTCGGGAACCGACCGCGTTCCACATTTGGGGGTTCCGAAATATTGTTTAAAAAAAAAATATATACCCAATCATCATATACGTAAAGCTCAATGTCATTAAGTTATGCGTCAAAAGTCATTAAAATTTAAAACCAATGTGTAGGTACTGTACCTACATTGTCATAAATGTGTCACGGCGACGTTTACCTTAGCCGTAGTTTGATGTGGGTAGTGGCCACGAATGATTGTAATTTACAGTTGTTTGCTTTTTTTGTTAGGTATTATTATTATTATTATTATTATTGAGGTCAGGGATCAATTATTTTTGTAAATTGCATACAAGACATAATAATATTTAATTATGACGTTTTATATAAGTACAAGACAAGTATTTCGAAAATAATTAGTGTTACACATAATTATCAAATATTATGATTTATGAGAATATTATGAGTATATTATAATTGATGGTATTAAAAGAGTATAATATGGACAATATAGTTGTCAATAAAAATCAATATTTAGACCAACTTGTAACAGATGAATAATAATATCATTAATACTCCGTCACGGACTAGACGAATACAAAAAGTTTTGACACAATTAATTACCATACATTTCACAAGTAAATGCTCGTTGATCGGTAAAATAATGAAGAATTATACACAAATAAAATAATTTATAAACTATATAACTATATATGAGTTTACCAATAGATTGGCAAAAAAAAAAATGATTAAAATGTGTTTATTGTATATTGTATTAGTCTTGACTAATAATAACTTATAACATGTAAAACATTGATTAAGTGAAGACTATAGTAAATAATAGTATATTTATTATTTTATTATTTTGCCATTGTTCTTAGTTTACATAATTATATGTGATGATATTATTTTTTATTTAAATGTACAACTTGAAAGTTTCATTTATTCGTCGAGACAGCCTGACTTCCATTTAATTGAATAAAGTTAGTATTTTTCCCAACATTAGCATTTAACTTTTAGATTTTATTGATTACTAACTTATATAAGTTATAGCTTAGGATTCTTAAAGATCACTTAACTTAACTAACTCGAGTTAATTTTCTCGATTAACTAGACCGTATGTGCACAAATGCACAATATTATAATTATGACATCGAATGGCGATAATAATAATGTTATCCTGTCCATAACTATCTATACGCAATATAAATTGCACATAGAGAAGTATGATGTAGGTACATAATGACATGATGCAATTAGTTTCACGTAGGTATACTCACAAACGTGGTCGTTTATCATGTTTCTTAAGATATATGCTTTCTGTCATACTATTCAAATAGGCTGTTCCATTCAACATATAGCTCTCACTAATGCCTTTGATGCCAACAAATTTCAAGATTCACAAATAAGATTTTTGTCGTATATTGCATACCTATATTATATTCTGTGTACGTTTTCAAAAGATTGACCGACCGCATATGTTATTAAATATTTATTTTCTATTTTCAATGTCTGTATTCGCAGGTTGCGTTATAGGTTAGCTGGAATAATCCGAATAAATATAATACGCTTAGGTATACATTCAATATCAGATTCCGATAGCACACAAAGTGAATGCTCTTTAGATGTCCGCCATTATTAGTGTATGATTATGTGTGCATTATATATTATAAAAACATCACATGCATATTTTTTCATATAAAATTATTATGTAGGCCATAAGACTTGTATAGAATAAATAGTAGACAAGTGTATAATATAATATAATGGGTGTACCTACACGTTTTTTTTTTAAATATCTTAAAACCGATACGTTTTTATTTATTATTATTAATGTTATTTTATAGACTGGATATCCTGACGCACATCAAACGTCCAGGCCATCAACTTCCGGGAACGTCAGAAGAGAAGGATTATGTAACGGACAGGTTCACAGCAGCAGAGAGTATGAATCTCCCGAAAGTTCGGTGGCGTTGGATAGAGACCGGCAAAGAAGTAAGATAATTTTGATGTTAAAAGATTTTAAGTTCATAATCTGAATGAAGTCTAACCTTTGAACATTTAAACACGTGTATATATATTCTGTTATGCAATGCAAATAATATAGGTATTTTAAGTTTCTTACCTTTCTCGACTACAAAGTTATTCTTGAGTATATGCCACGAAATTAAGAGTGTCGAACTTCATAAGCACAAGACACAAAACCCATTTATTATGATATGCAAATAAATGTATTTTATATTAAATGAAAAAGTTTTTATGTCGGCTACGTGTCTTATACGCTATAATATTATATTATACTATTTGAGTATTGCAATTCAGTATTACTCTTAAAATTATAATTTATAAATAACCGAAATAAATTATATTTTGCCAGTACCTATCTGATACTATAATATTATATTTTATTCGCAAGAAAGACATATTGACTAAATACCAAAGTTATATCAAAATCAGAAATGAATACAAACTTTTTTGATTACAAAGAGATTGCATACTCGAAATCAATTTGGCCACTTACTCGAAAATATTTACCGTATACACACCAAACATTTTTTTCCTCGATATTTTCTCCACCAACCCTTATCATAAAACTGAAATAATTTTTCAAGTAAAGAACCCAAAATATGAATTAACAAAACATTTTTTTTATTGTTATAAATTAATTCTTAATTATATTTACACAAGTTTTCTTATTCCTCTAGTAAAAGGTACATATTCTGCAATGCAACCATGAATTAATAAACAATAAGCGGTTACACCTGTAAACGGTTCTGATAGGTACTTACTTCATAATAGAACGATTCAGCCACAGCCTCAGCAGTGGATGTTCAATTGAAAATTGAAGCATGAGAATCGCTTACAGGTGTAACTCTTTTTTGTTTATTAATTACTAGAGAAGTAAGAAAACTTGTGTAAATATTATAGTTAAGAATCAGTTTATAAAAACAAAAGTAAAGGTGTTTTATTTAATAATTTGAGTTCTTTACTTGAAATAATTATTTCAGTTTTATAATAATAGGTTTGGTGGGGAAAAATCGAGGAAAAAAAAGTAAGTGTGTACGCGGTAAATATTTTCAAGTAAGTGGCAAAACCAATTTTGAGTGTGCAGTTTCCCTGCAATTTTAAAATCCCTTAAATATTTTGTGTAAAGTGACGATTCGTTTACAAAAATTGTGAAATCTCCCTGTAAAAAGGTATACAGTGTAATCTCTTCGTGATATGTGATAGGGTAAAATCAGTGTGCTCTGAGGGGGCACCCCCCTCTTCCTCGAACATGGTGTAATTACAGCAGATAAAAGAACAAACGTACTGTGAAGTGTGAACATACAAATGTATACTACTTCGGTTAATTCTTGGTTATTCATACGACATAACATATTCTATAGAACACGTCATATTATCTATAGTTGCGTATACAACTTGTAAACTTCAATATAAAAAATAAATACGATGACATTACATAAATCCAGAAACCTATATGTATTATTATAACCGAGGTCAATACCCGGCATTAATCACAAATATTTGAACAAATTTATAAACCATGTAATTAAAAATAATTTTTTATTAAATAATGTTTATTTAGGTACTTGTTTGTTTACTGTGAGTTGTGACCCTTTATCCTAAAGTCCGATTAATTTCATATACAAAGGCTCGGAAATAATAGTTTCACGCTTACAATAATTTAAGTTATTTTATAGTTTTATAAAATATTACAATTTTTTGGGTGGTACCAAAAATGCAATGTAGCTTTAATTATATACAAACTGCAAAACCGATGGAATTTCGTAGAATGGTATATTTAATTTTTATAATATTAGTGTGCAATGTTCAATTTATATAAAGAGGTAACATGAAGCTACTTAAGTATTTCAAGCACTGATTTAACCTAAAATCGAGTAAAAATGAAATTAAAAATCTGTACAGGTCACTGAATTGATGTCATTGTTATTTATTATATCGAATTTTTTTAATTGTATTTACTTCACATTAGGTGCTTCACGATATTACAATGATGGAGTTTTATTTATTTATCATTTATTTCTGTATTGGATTGATTTATATTTGTTGGTTTGTTTGTAGGTATCTATTAGATTTAATTAAAAATTATAACTTAAAAAGTAATAAAAAAAAAGCCAAACAACAAGTTTTAATTTCAGATGGTTATAATATGTTTCGAGGTGTTAAAGCTTTATAAACCGGGATATTAGTTGTTGACTTTATAGCCAAAGTTGTTCTAAATCATTCTCTGCGCAATCCGGTGTGAATACCAAAAAAAGAGGTAGAAAAATAATAAAAACTAATCAACTAAGTCCTAGACACAAACTTAAAATCCTTTTGTCATTATTTACTGTTTAAAAAACACTATGTTAAATTACTCAAGACTATTGATCAATAACTATTGAGAGTAAAGTTTTCCAAATTATTTTCTTAGTATTTTATTGTATGTATTATATATTGTAATAATATAATCTTTATAATATAATAATAAATCCTTATTTCCCTTGGTCACTCCATAACTTGAGAACGCCTCGACCGATTTGGCTGATTTTGTTTCTGTTGTGTTCGCAATTGTCAGGACAAGGTTTGTATAAAAGAAAATTTTATGAAAATCCACCGGAAATGTGGATGGCAAAAATACAACAGTGGCGCCCATCTGTCCTGCAAAAAATTATTACTAAATAATAATATATTTTTATTTATTGTAAGGTTGCTATTGGTTATGTTGAATATAATTGTAGACCTGTATATTTGGTCAGAACCATGAACAACGTGTTAATAAAACATTCGTAATTACGTACGCACCTCGCGTTGCCTACCTGTAAATTACTGCTATAAGTTTGAAACATATATGGAGCTTTTAACGGACAACGAAGTGCAAGGGATCAGCTAGTATAATATATTATTTGTATACGATTGTAAAACGCTATAGTTGTTATTTTTTTTTAATTTACTGATCTAATCCTAAAATAGCATTTCTATATACATTTCAAGTTAAGATCTCAAAAATAATTTAATTTATAAAAAACAAGTTTATCGTTGACTTAAGATATTATACATAGTTTGTAAAATTAACGAGTTACGAGTGTTGGTATCATTTATTGATTGTGACTTCAGAACTATACTTACACTATGATTCATAATCGCACATTATATTTTTTAGGACATGTGTCTGTAACAACGTTTTAAAAATAACAAATGTATATAAAACGTATCGGCTATTTTCTAGTTTTCTTTTTCAAGTGTTTCAAAATATTATATAGGTACATTTATTACCCAGAATTCACAAATAACCCGCAATCAATTTAATCATTTCGGTATGTTATAATTTTATTTGTAACCTGTAGTAGCTACACAGTAATACATTTTTAAAACTGTAGATTTGATACTATTATTCTTATTCAACATTTCCTTTATTTCCCCGGCGAATTGATTATTTCAATATTTTACTATAGGTACCAGCTAGAGTTGTCACTGTCAGTTGAACTAGGATATCATTGAATAATTTAAAAACAGAACTGTACATTATTTTCCAAATGAAATAATAATGCATAAACTACTTTTAACTTTAACATGTTATCAACATAATCATATAATATTTAATAGGTGATAGCGTTGAAAACGTAGCCGATACCTCACACAACAATTCACTGATAACTTAAAATTTAAATAATATCAAATACTAATATTTTACACATTTGTTTTGCTTCAAATTGATGACACCGTCCATACACTCAGTGTTCTTCGATCAAATATAATAAAACTGTCAATTTTTGTTGGTGTGTATATCTTTTATAGCGGTGCTATTCTTTAGCTTGGACTCAAATGTGATAAAAAATATTTTGAATTTCATCTAGCCATTGTGTGATAAATACGTCGTATATATATATATCATGACGTGTGCATATATTTTGTAAGCATATAATATGCATAGCTTTTCAGTGTCCGTTAATTGCATTTTCCTAATAAACCGAAATACTTACTTTTTTCCCAATAAAATATTAAGGACATTATAATATATTTTCTTGAATGGACCACGTTGTTAGTACTTTTTAGATTCATTTCGTCCAAAGTTGTTTATTTATTGCACGTAAGTACGGTCAGTAATTGAGTGTGGGCCCATAATGTGGAACCCAAATCAAAAGGTCCCGGTCGATGGCCTGGAAACTATTTTGTGGATCCGTTTATACCTACATTGTATATTAGCGATTAAAGGTGCCTACGGTAGTAAGGTCCATAATATTTAATGAGTTTAACAAACTATTATATATAGATTGGTTCGGCTTACACGTAGAAGAAAATATAATGTGTTATGGTTGTTTAAACTAACATCTATTTTTAATGAATTAAAATTTGAAGATTTAGTCTTGATTTCATTTAATATTCAAAGTTTAATACTTCTTAGCGTTGCTTGCAGAACCCGTATTGTGCTATATTGAGTATAGGTATGTGATGGCTCCGCAGTCACTCTGTAAATTATTAATTAGTATGTAATTACTTTTTGTTAAATTACTGTTAACATTTAATAACTTGAAATACTATTTCTATTAGAACAGATTCAACCAAAGTTCACACCGAAAATGGGGAAGAACCTGACTTAACTTATATAATATAATTTTGTCGTACGGAATTCGTCAACGGGTTAAATATTTTAATCTTATTTTAACTCAAACTGGCAATCCGATACAAGAATGCATAGTTTATTGTTCAATATTATACTAAATAATAATTATAATAATTGTAGCTTTGTTATTTGGGTATTTAATACGATAATATTGAAGTACCTACCTGTCTATGTATTCTATATTATTAATAAATATAGTTGATTGCGTATTATTAGATACCAATAGTATTCATATCAATAATTTGTAGTTATAGTTAATGTTATAATAATGAACTCGTTTAGATTTTGAAGTTTTAACTAAACTAAATGTGATTTATACAATTTTTACCGTCGTTCAAAAATAAAAAATAATTGAATAAATTCTTTAAACAGACTTACTACTTGGTGTAAAAATATTCTGCCAATCGTTAAGTCGCACATAATTTGTATTATATTATAATTATCTACCTTTAATTACCTACTATAACGATTGAAATATTGATAAAAAAAAAGTGACGATATTATAAAAGAATTATTATAGCCAATCGACAAATCGTACCATTATAACTTTTATTTAGTTATATAATAAGACATTATATTATGCCATTTTTATTTACAGCTGTATATGAAATACAAGTTCGACCGTGTGCTGGCATTGTATTGGTAATAATTGGCTTTGTCGTGTTGCTCATATGGATTGCTTTGCCAAGCTCGTCCGAACCACCTGGTAGTTTTTCATCTCATCGGGAAGAAACTTTTGAAGTAGTCCGGCGAATTCTTGAAGAAGTTCCATTAATAGACGGGTAAGTTTTGAGTACCTTTATACCACCTTTTCACTAAAATAAACCATAATTATATGCAATAAGACTATTATCGATATTATTTAGTAACAGAATAGTGTAATATTTCAAAAAACGAAAATTTTTGGGCATTTTATTTAGGTCTATACATTTTTAATATACTTACTACATTTCGATCACAAATCACAATAAATATACTGAATGTATAACGAATTTGAATAAATATAAATTATAAACTGTCTATTATTTTAAAATTAAATATAAGAATATATATAAATAGGTAATATTATATATTATACAATTTTGTTAATTAATATGAAACAATTATTATTGAGTAATAGGTCCACTGCGTTTTTAAGTGGAAAAAAATCGATAATTTACTACAACAGTAAATAATTTAAACTTTAAAGTGAATTATTATTATTGTATCGTACGTTTTTAAAATTGTTAGGTACTTTATACTAAATTCGAATAGATTAAAGTTTTTTTTATCGGTCTTAATATGTAATATGTGTTGTATATCTATAATGTACGTGTACCTTAAATTCGCAATTTTAAATACCAGTAGATCCTTTATATTATATTATTACTTATTAGCAAACTTATTATCTCACATAAAAAGAGGAAACGTTTTTATGCTTTCTTCTGCTTTTCAGAACTAAGAAGAAAATAAAGTATATATTATATAAAATAAAAATTATATTGATCCGTTAAGGACCAATTTTTATATATTCATCTCAAAATAATTATTAAGTAATATAATCGAAATCGACATTATATTACTACACATTACACATATTTACATTTGTTTAAATACATACCTAACATTAATATATCTTTAATAACATAATATTATATGTACATATTAATATTTTGCTCTTAAACGATTAATTTTCGTTATTTCCGATGCAATACAAATCGTTTAACCACGAGGAGTCAAATCATACCATCTGTAAGTTAGGTACCTAAGTAAAAAAACATATATTTGACTACTTGATTTTGTTTCTTTAAAAACTTTTGTCACTTTTTTGGCACTGAAAGTTTCTTCTTTTGAACTTCCGCCTTTAATTAGCCAAAAAAAAAGTTTGAACGTTAAATTATCTGTAGAGGTAATATGATGGAAGACTGCACTTTGTTCAAACTTCTGCTTCAAAACATTCAATGTTTTGTATAACACTTGGTTGATCTTTTCTTACTAAATATATAATTATATTATTTATTAACACAAACTAACTGTTATCACTGAGTATAATAACTATACTCAATGGTATTATTTAAAAAAAAGTACAATGCATTAAGACATTTGAGAGCAGTTAGCTTTATTTACATATTAGAGATAAATAACTAAAAACTCTATACTATCACATGGCCTTTAATCTTTATATCCCTTTATTTCGGAGATATTCAAACTGTGCGTTAAGGTTTCAATGAGTATAGCCTTGAGGTCTATTATACTAATGATTATTATCTTAGACGATTAATATCTTATTTTATTCTAAATGTAAAATATATAATTTTGTGGTTTCCTTTACATTTAACTTTTTTTTATAAGACAATGTTTTTTGATAAATTTCCTGTAAATTATATTTTCTCTTTCCTCTACTACAATATTGTTAATTACCTACCTTCATTTTTTTCCAACTGTCTAAAGAAAAGAATTATTCTGAATATTATAGTTTTAATAGGATATCTTATAAGCACTGTTGGAATTATTTTTTAGAATGATGAATTTCACTTTTAAAACATTTTTAACAATATTTATTGTTATCTTTGATCGTGAAATGCACATTTTTTTAAGTTTAGAAGAGGTTGTGATAAGTCAATGAACCCCATTTAGCAAATAACCCGACAGAGAGTCATAAATTATTTTAACGTAATGTCATCAACCACACATACTTAATACCTAAACACTAAAAATATATTATAACAATTTATAAAATCATTTTCAAAAATATTGAAAAATCTCACATATTAAATCTTACAAGTATCATAAAGACAAATATTGTTTACGTCATGTAGTACAGAATATGTTTCAATTATTTTATTTACTTATTATCTGATAAGTATAATTTGTTCATTGAAAAATTGTTATTTTTTAAGTAAGACATCTAATGAGGGGGTGAGACCGGCTGTTGACATGCTTAGGTTGCCACACTCGTGAAACATCCAATCTAAATATTTTTTTTTTGATTATATCATTTTCATTTCCTTTAATAACCTTTCAATGTTCATGCATATTGTCTATACAAAATAATTTCAATGTTTTACATATTCTGTTAGGCGTCCCTCGACGGCTCACTTTTTTTATCTACACACCAGAAATAAATTGATCAACCCATATATTGTATATAGGTACCTAAATTAAAATAAATTGACACAAAAAAAATACAAAATGTTAAGTAAATAATTTATAATATAAAGGAAAATCAATTGTATCAAAAATGTAGACAATAAGACAAAGATAATACTATGTGTCTAATTATCTGCCATCGAAGTTATAAATTTAAAAATAAAGTTTAGGTAGATGTATATAATATTTCATATGTATTGCACAAAGTATATATTGCACTCAAATACTCAATTTTGTTCCTTAATTCTTCAATCTTAAAATAAAATAAATTATTAACTTATATAATAATATTCATAGTCATTAGTCAACTACCAATATTAATTTATTCGATCAACTTATGGTTTTAATATTTTTATTTCTTACTAGCTGATCATGTGCACTTCGTCGCCCGTTAAATATATCAACTCAATATGACTCAAACTTTGTTCAATTCATTATTCAATATTCGGTGTATGGTGTTCAAAATTTATCTTATCTTTTCCGTTGCCCGGAATAAAAATTCTGAATCGCAGCAGTACATTATCAGGTAGGCAATCTACCTGCGGTAGATCGCGGACCCCGTGCTGTTTGTACGGAAGTGTATGATTTAACTCTAAAGTATCAAAGTTATACCAAGTTTATTTTGATATAATACTGTGGATTAATATAACAAATTTGGTTGCTCGTAAAAAATCGCAACTCTTAAAAAAATTATGATTGTTGAACTCCTTTTGGGTGTAACTATTGCTGCGGTAAGTGAAACTCACCCTGGTAGGCAATGTTCAATAATTCGATTTGATGCAAGCTTGTACCTGATCTGTCCGTATAACCAATGGCAACCAATAAATAAATGCTAATTTCTAATGTAGACTGTAACCAATGGCAACTATAAATAAATAAAAATAAAATTTCCAATTTCTATCGTGAATCTCAATGTCCCTGTTTCAGCACCTATTTAAAATGCGAATTTTTGCAAATCCTTTCTTAGCGCATGTCTACATCATAATAGCTATCTGTATGCCAAATTTCAGCCAGATCCGTCCAATGGTTTGAGCTGTGCGTTGATAGCAGTCAATCAGCTTACTGTTTTATATATACAGATATGGTTGCCATGGTAATATGGACACACACACATACATTCGTTTATATATATATAGATTTTTATTTAAAACAATTATCCATAAGAATTTATTAATTTTTGATTTATTAGTCGATCTTACATCACATTGATAAACAATAAAAATATGTATACGATTTGATTTTATATTATGTGGATAATTTCCTCAAATTTAATTTATTAATCATTTTAAAATTCAAATAATGTCACATGTCATATAAAATATCATTGCATTTTTTTAACTCCTAAATATCATTGGAGAATTGGAAAATAATACATTCTTATTTACTTGTATAAAGCTATAAATTAGTGATTACCATAGGATAACTTTGGTCAAGTATAATAACACAACAATAAGTGGTTTTCGTTTATAAAATATAATATATTATATGAATTTCAAGTAATTTTTCACAAGACTTAATAGTATTTTTTTTTTTTTTTGATAATAACAATTTTAACAACTATCATTGGCTAAAAAATATATCAATCTTGATCCAAAAACATATATGGATGACCATTGGCCTTCTTAGACCTTCCATCTTGTTTATTACAAAAGGGCTTCGTTGACAGGGGATAACCCATAAATCATGCGAAACTTTTCCGAATTTCGACGCCTTTGAGACAATAGCGGAAACCACCGTATTAATATTTAAACCTTCTTTCCTTGGCCTATTATCAGATATCTTACAGCCTACAAATTCTCTTCCACTCCGCAAAAACGATAAATTTCCTCCGGAGGCACGCCTTCCACATAACCGTTATTCTTATGTACACCTTTTATATACAGAAAATAATAGTATACGTTAAACTATTCTCGAGTAATGCCATTTCAAGGATAAGATAAATAAAATAAACCATAAACGTTGAGATTTCAATAATATTTTTATTTACATTTTAAATATTATGATTAAGGTGTTAAATATTGCCCATTGTATTTAATTCATTATAGTGAATTGCATTAAAAACATAACATCAGAGAATGGTCATAGTCGCGGATCAATAAGAAAAATATATATACAGTAGGTCCCAAAAGTCCCGTATCACCCTTAATATCTCCATGTAAAATCACTATATTTAAACGCGGTTTTTTTTACAGTACTAAGTATGAAAATTCTGATTGAATGGCACAAAATTCATTTATTTTTTTCTTTAAATTCAAAAATTTTCAAAAAAATTTTTTACGCATTTAAGAATTTAAAATTTTTAAGATAGCCATTTTGTTGAGCATATTTTTTAAAATAGTTCAAAAAAAAAAAAATACTAAAATTAAATAAAAATTGACCAAGTTAGAGCAAGTTATGTTTTTGAATAATTGTAGTAAAAAAATAAATTAGGAATGTAAAAGTATTGTCGTGTGCTGAAATTAGATATTTCATTATTGAATGTGAAACAATAATTTATTTTTTTACTACAATTATTCAAAAACATAACTTGCTCTAACTTGGTCAATTTTTATTTAATTTTAGTATTTTTTTTTTTTGAACTATTTTAAAAAATATGCTCAACAAAATGGCTATCTTAAAAATTTTAAATTCTTAAATGCGTAAAAAATTTTTT